TTAAGGGGCTGCGCCCAGAGTCGGGCAACGCAGGCAATTCATTCATTCATGCATTCCTTCATTGATCCATTCAATCAATCCATCAATCAATCATTCAATCCTTCAATCCTTCAATCATTCAATCCTTCGTTCATGCAATCATTCATTCATTCACTCACTCATGGGGCGGAGAGGGGGCCCCCGCGCGCATGCGCGCCCTTCCCCTGATCCCTCCTCCTGCCCTTCCTGCCTTGGCCAGCATCTTAAGCATGTGTGTGCGCGCGCGCCCCGTCCCGCCTGGTCCCTCCTGCCGCCTCCCTGACCAGCATCATTGCGCGCGCGCTGGAGCCACCTTTGAGGCCTTCCAGTGAGCATCATCAGCATCATCACTCTTGCGCGCGCGCGGCACCAATTTGAGGCCTTCCGGTACCCCTCCTGCACCTGAGGCTACGTTTCGGGAAGATCTCTTAAAAGCAGCAGAATGAACGACAGCCCACTGTCGTTGAGGCTTTGTAGCTTGGACTCCCCGGCCCGGGCCCCGAGTTGGAAAGCCTGAGCTCCCAGCAGGGGGCACCCTAGTCATCCGATGAAATTGGAACGACACAGGGAAGATTAGCATGGCCCGTGGTCAAGGATGACACACACAAATCGAGAAGTGTACCAAGGAGAGAGGGTTGAAACCTCAACAAAGATCCGAGAACATCAACAAGCATCTGCAAGAACATCAAAAAGATTATGTGGTAACCTCATGGCCTCTCTGGGGTCCAGGGCGCGGGGGGACGGGCGCGGGGGAGTACAGATTTCGGCATTTTGAGCCTTGAAAGTCTCGAAAATCGTACTCCCCCGCGCCCGTGCTCTGGCCTCTCTGGCGTCCAGGGAGCTGGGGGGCACGGGCGTGGGGGAGTACAGATTTCGGCATTTTGGGCCTTGAACGTCTCGAAAATCGTACTCTTCCGCGCCCCTCCTCTGGCCTCTCTGTCCAGGGTTCAGGGCGCGGGGGGGTACGGCCACGGGCGCGGGGGAGTACAGATTTCGGCGTTTTGAGCCTTGAAAGTGGCGGGGGGGCACGGGCGCGGGGGAGTACAGATTTCGGCATTTTGAAAGTCTCGCCGTTCTGATTTCTCAATTTGCTGTCCTGTTTCCTACATTTCTTGTTGTGGTTCCTGCGTTTCTTGTTGTGGTTCTCGCTCGTGTTCCTTCTTGTGGTTACACCCATGTCTCTGTACCAAGAATCGAAACACCACCTTCATCGGCAATTTGGTGGGCGCTGTGGGGGTCAGGGATTGCCTTGGGGTCGAATTAAGTGCATGACAACAGAAAGGCCATGGAAGAAGGCAGTCCAGCTCTGGGGTTTGGGGGCCTGGGGGAGACGTCGGGGGGGTAGGGCAGGAGGAAGGTTCGCGGCGAGTCGGGTCTGCTGGTCGAATCGGGTCTGCTTTGCGGTCGAATCGGCAATTCGGTGGGGCGCCGTGGGGTCGGGGGTAGGGCCTGCCTTGGGGTCGAACTAAGTGAGTACATGACGAGAAAAAGGACACGGAAGAAGGTGGTCCAGCTGTGGTTTGGGGGCCTGGTCGGTGGGCGCTGTGGGGTCAGGGATTGCCTTGGGATCGAATTTGGTACATGACAACAGAAAGGACATGGAAGAAGGCAGTCCTGTCTCTCTGTGTGTGTGTGTGTGTGTGCGTGTGTCCGTCTGTCTGTCGGTCGTTCTGTCGGTCGTTCTGTCGGTCGGTCGGTCGGTCGGTCTGTCGGCCTCACTGTCGGTCTCTCTGTCGGTGTCTCTGTCGCTCGCTCGCTCGCTCTCTCGCTCTCTCGCTGTCCCTCGCCCTCGCGCTCTCAGACCTGCGCGTGCGTGCTTGGCAGAGAGAGATAGATATATACATAATATTATTATACATGCATACATGTGTATACCAAAACTTAAACAAACAACATGCACGTATGTATTTTGTCGAATGTTCGGCGTGAAGACCCTTCATAGCTGAATCTTTGGCATGTGGAATGCAACAGCTCTTGTGCATATTTTCAGAAGGACCGATCGGAGAGCGGGAACGGTGCAAACTTCTGGCAGATACTGTCAGAAAAACTTGCATTTTGTTGCACCATGTGCTTGCTTCGTGAACCTGGCAGGTACGGGGGCATCGGCGCTTCCAGAACTGTCAGCGGCCCAGCCTGCCCAGCTAGTGTCAGTTGACACCCCGACAAGAAACGCATAGCAACAAGGTACAAACACAGTGACATGAATTTAGGATGGGGTGTCAAGCAGTCTACTCCATTGTTTCCTATCAACAGCCCGGCGACATAGTCGAGTAGCTTACTTCGCAGCAAGTGGATGGCTTCTGCAAGGGTTGGAGGACAGACAGGACAGGAAACAGACTGGGAATTCGGGTGCGAAGTTGTCGGTCTGCTAGTCACGGGGCCTCGTTAAGAGGAGGAGGAGGAGGAGGATGTGCATTCATGTTGAAGGTTGAGGGTGACACGAGTTTTTTTTCGTGCATGCTCCGTGCTCGGGTGTGCACGACCATCTCCGGATGGACGACAACAATGAGGGTGACACGTTGTTGATGATGATGATGATGATGGTGATGATGCGGTCGTGGTTGTTGTTGTTGATGATGATGGTGATGATGATGGTGATGATGATGATGGTGATGATGATGATGATTCTGATTATGATGCTGATGCTGCTGCTGATGATGATGATGATGATTCAGGCGCCTCTGCCGCTGCTGCTGCCGTTGCTGCTGTCGTTGATGCAGACGACAAGGATGACACGACATTGACGGCGACTGAGAGGGCAACACTAAACCTAGGTCATGGATGCTTCGACCGCGGGCGTGGAGCGGCTCGTCATCGAGTGAAAATGCCGGTCGCAGTTGCCTGCAACACTCTCAGGCTCACAAGAGTAACTGCTACCCAGAAACAAATTCACGCCTTGTTAGCAACCCACTTTGCATTACTAAACCTAGACTTGTCGGAATTCGTTGTCATGCAAGTCTCACTCGGGCTACTCAGCCCTGCATGCTTGTACAGAGTATCCTCCACCTGAGAGAGGATGCAAGACGCGTGCGGCAGGTTAGGTAGAGCTTTGCGAATTATTGCGCGATGTTTCGTAGGTCATGAGGTGAACTAAGGCTCTAAGGGTCGTACTGCCCCAGTCCAGATGGTTCGAAGTCGAAGAACTGAGGGGCGATGCCATACGAAAGCAGCTCCCATACAGCCGCAGGAGCCGGATTCACTAAACTTCGCACGCTGAAGATCAGGATTCGGGGCATGGCAGCACGTCCGGTGCCAAGAGATCGAAACAGGCTCCCCGTCTCACCGAGCCGCAGACAGTGCCACCAACACTATGCGAAGACGCAGAACAAGAAGCATGCCAGTGCATGGCTTCGCTAAGAAGCAACATAGCACGTGGCAGTCTTTGGACATGGGAATGAGCTGCCAGTCGCTTTGGCTTGGCTCGTACATGGCATAGCTTGGCAGAGGCAACACGTGGTCTGTGCACAGACCGGCCCACGGCCCGCCAGTGGAGTAAGATATATTCTGCCAAGCTTCCTTCCCGAGCAAAGAGCCATACCTGCACTGCATGCATTTCGTCCACGCCCCCACATGTACACTGGTGATGTCGTTTGTATCGGGCACCGTTTGTCTAGGTTCCAACTGCTACCTGTACTAAGAGATGCGCTTCGTGAGAAAAAGTAACGTTTCATGGGTCTAACTGAGTTCGTCCATGCAAACTTGCTCAGAGACGATGACAGACGGCCAGGGACCGAGAAATCTGTGATCCACCAACTTGAGCCGATGTTTTGGGGCAGCGAGGTGCGGTCACATCTCGTGCCTCTGCCAGCCAGAAGCTCATTTTCAAGGCTGTGCCTGCTCTCACGTGACTCCTGTAAGGCCCATAGGCCCTTTGAGGAGCGCTCCTCGGAGAAGCCATGGGCGACCTAACAGAGATCCTGCTTGGCTGCAGCGACTTCGGCCGGCTCTTGGAGAACTTCCTGCAGCCAACGGCCTCCTCAGGCACGCGGACTGCAGCAGTGCACCGGCTTTGGCGCTCTAAAGCAGGCTTTGTCGATCTGGTCCAACAGGCGCAAAAGCTGGCCCAAGGCTCGTGAGAGGCTCCCGCCCCACTTTTGTTGCTCTTCTGCACGGACAGGCCTCGCAGAGTTTCAGCATTGTCTTCAGGCAGGAAGCTTTGTGTGTGTGTGTGCGTGGAAAGAGACGACTCTGCTGAACCATGTTCAATTCTGAAGGGCCTGCCTGCACGCAGCACGAAAAGTCGACAGTAGTCTGCTTGCAGCATTGCTTGTACATGCGCTCATATTCGGCATGCTCTCTGAAAAGAAGGAGAAAGCCGCAGAGGGCAAAGGAGCAAGAAGGCGGGCATCCGGTTGCTCTGGCGAGGGCCCCACCTGGCGCTGTGCTGAGCTGCGGTCAGGACAGACAAGACAACAGCTCTCCTTGATCTACCCAGCACGCTGGAAGTTCCGGCCCGAGTGACGGTGACATGATGTGCAAACACTTGCTGGGCAGCTTCTGCATGCGTTTACACAGAAGAGCAGGTGCAAGAGCTTCTGCGCCAGCTAGATACGATCAATGGCACGATTCGTGCTTTGGATGAGGCCGTTCATGGTCGTGCGTTTCTCAAGATCAGACCGCGAGTGAATAAAGGTTACTGAATGAAGGTTTCTAGGGCTATCTGAAGCTTTGCAAAGGCATACAGGCCTGAACCAGTAGGGCCTCGGGTGTGCAGCGAAGTACAGCTTGTTGTTGTAGAGTCGGGTGCAGATGATGGCCGCGGAGAGCATTCCGCTGGCTGACTGTTTCAGCATCGCCCAAAGTCAAGAGCTCAACATAAGCCTGCTGCCATTTGCTGGCAACTCTTGGACGATCACGAGGGCTGTGATGCGAAACGGAGAGCCGTGAGGTGCAATGCTCTCTCCGGAGACGCGGCAATGCGTCCAGCACCCTGGAGAGGCAGAAGCCACGAAGCAAGACCCTTGCTTGGCTGCCTCCGTTGGAAAGGTGGCCGAAGCGCTGGTGCCCACGCCTTCAACATTGCCAGGGCCTTCTTCCCCAAAAAAAACAACAGAAGGCAACGACTTAAAAGTGGTGATCGCCGAGGCCAGCCTGGGGTGCCTGTGGTGCTGGAAGATTGGTGCAAAGCTCCATACCACCCTTGGAGAGCCTAAGTCAAGCTCCTGGCGCCCTTGGCTCCTCGGACTTCAGAAGATTTCAAGGGCAAGGGCCAAGGGCCAAGGGCCAACTAGGCCCCAGCGCTAGCTGGGAGCTTGGAGCTTGGCATGAAAGGTCTCGACCCCATCGAGCCTCCGCCTGCGGCTCTCGCAGTGGCGGATTCGCCCCAGGCAGCAGGTCGATGGCTGAGCGGCTGAGACCGTTCCGAGCTTTTCCGTGTTGGTAGCAGATACCTTACCCTCCCTCTGCTTGCCAGCCGCGCTGCCGGCGCCGGAACAGCCGCAAAGCGCCCGCTGCTCGGTTCTCCTTCGCTTCAGCAGGTAGCACCGCAGTTGGTTCTGAGGCTCCGAGTGCGGCTATCATGGATTGCTCACGGAAATAATTGACTGATGTAGGCGGCGTGGCTGCCTTCCTGCAAGAGCAATCAGCAGAGGCCATGGTGCTGTGGCAAGAGGACGAGATGGAGGTGGCACAGCCAGAGGAACCTCAAGACTTCAGAGGCCAAGCGTCAGTGGAGGCATTGACCAGTGGCGGTGTGGGGATGGGCTCCAGGTCCTTCCGGTCCTGCCCCTTTGTCGGGCCGTCGCCTCGCGAATGCGGAGGACACGGCGGCTCCCTGAGCCTCAGCCATGCTCGTCAGAAGCCATGCTCAGTGGTAGGGCACAGCAGGGCACGGCACGTTTAAGGGGTTTTATATTTTGGCCTCAGGTTCAGGTGGCTTCGCTGCTCTGCTCTCCTGGATCTCCCAGCTCGCCTTCTGCTCTGCAAGATGCGCCGAGGGTGCAGTCTCAGGCGCTCTTCCAGGTTGTGCCTGTGGCCCCGGAGAACTTGAAGGAAGCTGCGAAGGAGTGCAGAAGCGATGCAGAGGCCAGCCGGCCTCTGCCTTCCGACATCTCCGTGCAACGCCCCCGGGCGCTGCCCGATGGACTGCCGGAGGCCGTGCAGGAGGCTGCGCAACGGCGAGTGGTGGCAAAGGCCTGCAAGCGCAGGCCAGCTCTTCCTCCGGTTCCGAGTCTTCCTCCGCTGCCGGATGGGGACCTTATTGAAAGCTTCTCGGACAATCCTCTGCACAACGCCCTGCAAGGGCCTGGGCCTAACAATGGCCAGGAGTCGTGCAACGAGGTGCCGGAGCCCTCGCCACACCGAGAGCTGGAGGGGAAGCAGAGTGGATCAGATGCTCTGCCAAGCAAAGCTCCAAGCGAGCTGGAAGCTGGGCTGCACACGATTAGAAGCCCAGGCTTGAAGGAGGTCAAGGATCTGAACCTTCCAGCGAGCAGTACACAGCCCCACCGAGCCAAGCGAGCCAATCGTCACAGGAGCGATCTTGTCTTGTACAGTGTGGCTCCTCTTTGTTTCGTGCGCATGGGCCTTCGAGAGGAATCTCTGCAGCCTTTTTGTGTCAAGTTATGCCGATGTCTTTCGTTCCTTTCTCACTAGTCGTGCCATCGATGGCTGAGTTGGGTGCAAAGTCTGAGCTGTCCGGTGATGGTTGTGGGATGCCGAGCATAATAGATGAGCCTGCTTCAGCATGAGGTGCAGATGAACGCTTTGAAACGCATCGAAGAGGATGGGCTTGACAGCAGTCGGGCCAATGAGACTTTGAACCACTTACGTGCTTTGCCACAAACAAAGGGTATCTTGCACCCAGCAGCTGACCATCCAGACCCAGCCGACGATCCGAGACAACGAGAACCCTGATGCACCAGAAAGTTCAAATAACAGACAACGAGCGGACACTTGCAGAACAAGAGTTCAGGCTGGCACAGAAGCGTGAGGAGCCCGGGCTGGAATAGAAGGGTGGGGAGCCCGAGGTGTCACCAGTACCAACCTGGCAGTGCAAAACGGCGAAGGATTCCAAGATGCAGGCCTCTGCAAAGCGCTCGATGAGAGTCCTACCGTGGGTTCCTTCTTTGGTGAGCCAAATCTTCTCCCAGCGGGTATACATTCGGGGGGTGGTTTTTGCTGATGCTTTTTTGCTGTTGCATGCCCCTCTCCTTCAGTGCTGCCATTCCCTCACTTGGAAAAACCCGTCCTGCGCAAGGTTTTCGCCTTCTTGTAGATGTTGTGCTCTTCGTAGCCGAGGGTTCTGTCTCATTGCCGCTTTCTTGTTTCTGTGCACGAAAACTCACGTGACTTTTTGTCGTACATTTTTGGTTGCGACTTCGTCCAAAGCTCCAAAAACGTGGCCTGCGTGTTATATTTCTGACTTTCTGAAACCATGTTGCTTGCTATCTCGCGTTTTGCGCTTTCTGCGTTTTTCTGTCTGTGCCGTTTTCCGTGA